AGAGAGAGAGAGAGAGAGAGAGAGAGAGAGAGAGAGAGAGAGAGAGAAAGAGAGGAGACTCACACAAATATACATGCAGATAAACAAGAATTAAACCTTGAAAAAGACCAAAACACCAACTGAAGCGGACACACCTGGCTTAGCTCAAATTGTCAATAGCTGTGTACCTTATGAATGAATCATCTAATCAGTGAGCTGATCCAGAAGGTGTGTCTGAAGCAGCATTCAAAAGCAGTTACTGGGAGTTGAGAAAAGTCAAGCATATGGCTAACCATTTCCCTCTAAAAAGCCAAGATACTCAAGAAATAATTATGATTTCTAAGTTTCAATGGTTCCAAGGTTGAGATGTTCTGACATTTTTCTATTTATACTACCAAAATTTCTACTTTACATTTATTTTTATAGTGTGTTATAGAAAGAATATCCCATAATAGAATTTAACATACTCGGAAGTATTCATTTAAAACAAAACAAACCCTTATATGAGAATATAAATTAATAAAACAATAGGAGTTTAATTTACATACAGTAGGGCAGTTTACCCATGCCTTTCTCTTAGATTATACTTCAAAAAAATCAGTGCTACTATGATAGATACTCGTATCTACATTTTAATAGTTTATCAATATTTATGATGGAATATATAAAAAACACGTTCAATAATGTCATTAATGCCCAATTTCTACACACACACACACACAAACACACACACACACACACACATATGTACACTCACACAAATTTTAAATCAGTATTAAAAACAACTGAAATGTAGACAGGGTGCACACAAATGTGAATTTTCAGAAGTTAATTTCCCAGTGACTTTAACAAATTTATTAAAGCGGGGATTGGCAGTAGTAGAGTGTAATTTCTAAGTGTCTTCTTTGCTACAATTACAGTAATTAAATTGTTCTGAACAGTATATATGCGTGTTGTAAATTATAATGAATACACAACGAGTATTGATCTTCATTGTACAACTTAATTAAAACTTGTCCAAGAGAAGCCACTAATGAATATAATTAGAGGAAATGTTTGATACCACACTTACTCTGGAAAGCATTAATTAGCTATCAGATATTTTGTGGAAAATGTTTTTATTTTGTTATTTATATTTTAAAATGAAACCACACAATGAAACTGAAAAAAATCCTTCAAGGTCATTTTCTCACTCAAATATTAGTTGTGTAATTACGAGGAAGATGGGTTGATTGGTTATCAATGAGGAAATTATTTCTTCAGGAGAAAAAAGCCCACAGTGATGAACAAGTATGTAATCTACTGCAAATTCCTAGTCAATGTACAAAAGGGAAAACACCTCACTACTATAATGATTTTAAAGTGTTCTTTAAAAGAGTTTGTGTGTGTGTGTGTGTGTGTGTGTGTGTGTGTGTGTGTGTGTAGCACATGAATATGAATGTAGTGCCCATGGAGGTCTATAGAGGGCACCAAATCCCACAAAGCTGGTGATATAGGTCATCCCAGATTTGATATGGGTGAAGAGAACTCTGCAAAGCTAGTATGTGCTCTAAAATGCTGAGCCATCTATCTCTCCAGCACACCTGGTAAACTTTTAATCAGTAAATATAAAAGTATTAGCCGAAAATAGATTCAAATAGAAACTATTCCTCAAAAATTGCAAGTATACTCTAGTTTTATTATTAGATGATCAATTCAAATT